CATAAATATATATTTCATGAATTTCAAACATTCAGTAATAAGAGAAGCTTCAGCTCCTCGCATTGACATAAAGACGTCCCCTTTACACATCAGACGTATGATTCAGATGCACACATGGCGTCTCTGACTTCATCGCGTAGCCGAGATAAAACCAAACGTAAGACGGATTACGGTAAATGTCTTCATAGGTCTGTACATCAACATTCAAGCTAACACCAAGGGTGTAATCGGAAAACATACTGTAGAGAATCATCTGATCGTCCCCGGTTAGGTTCCTTTCCATCAGTACGTCTCTTACCAGCCGATACTGACGAATGAACTTCTTCATGACTTCCACTCGACCAACCAAAATACACCCGCACAACCAGAAAGGCATATTTCGAATGATCCATTCTGAACTCTTGTTTCCAATGAAATTTTTCACTTTGTTGAATGCAATTTTGGAATCATTGAAATTTGGAGGAATCTTTAGTTTAAAGCAGTCGTTCGCTCGATAATCACGAAAAAGCCCGATGTCCAGCCACATGATGTAAGGACTGTGAAAATAATTGTTGTCAATGGCATTTTCGAGAAATTCATACTTTCCGTGCATTATAACGGAATAGTGGGCATTCGTGGTTGGCGGATGGTGCTGTGGATAATTTTCTTGAGCGAAGATTCGCTTCGTTTTTTGCAACAGTTTCCAGCTCCAGTGTTCTTCGTTTTGAAACATATTCACATATATGTATTTGGTAGGTATGCCACGACGATGGCGGGAAAAGGTGGTGTAAATCCATTTTTTGTCAAAGTAGAATACCACTGGCTGGCGAATCTTCGACCACACTTTGAACCATTCCAGATATGTATCCAACTGCCGGGACACGCTTCCTTTGATGAATTTTCCAATGTCAATAAATCCTGTCACAATGGTAGGATTTTGTGCGGAATAATTGTTACTCATTGGTTGCTCAAGGATAAACAGGGGGCTTGTTTTGCCAATATCTTTGCCAGCCGCTCCGTAAGAAGAATTTCTGGCCAGGAAATAAGAAACCGAAACAACTGCTATTATGCCCAGGACGACGAGTCTCTTTATCTTTGGCGTTATACTTCTGAAAATGAGCCTGGAAAGCTTTGGCGAATACGTCATCTCTAATTCATCTGCAGCACAATGAATCTAAACAGGAATATGGTTAGATTTCGAATTCATCAACAGATAACTTATCACTTTATAGATAACCGCTCACCGCATTGTACTAACACTATATGCTCATAAATCCTATGACATGTTACAACTATGCAAATTTTTTCACCGTACAGTGATTCATAGACGAATCAGGCGTGGGCTGAATGTTTGAAGAATTTAGCCATAATATTTGAAAGTGTTTCATCAAATCATAATTAGGCTTGTCACCTATTGTATCATTCCACCCTTTGTCACAATATTGATCGGAAGCCTCATGATGAGGGTTTTATAACCATTGTCACGCCATGGTTAAGCAGCTAATCTGATGAGTATGATGGTTCGTTTAGTACCTCCTGAAGTTGTAGACGGTATTCCGTGAGTTAGTGATTTTTCCGGGTCAACCCCACCGCTTTTTTTTCAAGTTGCAACGCGAATATCACATCTCAGCAACTGATTAATGGCAACAGCCATACCGCAAAGTCTACTGACTGAAATTCTACACTCCCACAGGGCGTCCTGCCTCGCTACCAGTCTTAGACTTTTAAAATGGTATAGGTCGAATAATTCAACCATCTTGCTGGAAGCATATCATCATCTCATTTTTGTCTTTTATTGTTCTTAATGTTTTGCTCAACTAGGGTATACTCGCATTAGACCTTAAACAAGCAAATTTTTCTCTTCTAACTGTTGAAATTGTTTATCGACGTGAAGAAGATTGTGTCTGTAAGAGCATCTAGTCGGTTAGCATAACAGATTTTGACGTATTACTGTATCAGCAACCTGTCACACCTCATGCATAATGAGGGACGAGTATATTAGCTCAAAACTGAGAAAGTCATTTTGAAAAGCGATTAAAGACTTAAGTTACCGGTTTCCTTACTGTACTGCGACATATTCTTTACACACACGCAACCAACCCTTCATTTGTATAATGAAATGGTTTGAAGTCTTCATGTGGTGAAGAATGGACTGTAGCTTTTAATCACCCCTCTTACTTCGTGGCTCGGTAGTTCCGGGCGATTAAATCAGCCTCACAGATTTTCGTCACCTTTAGGTTTGGTACCGGATTCGAAATTACCACTAGGCTGTATGGATGTGGATATGCACTAACCTGCAGCATTGGCAAGAGAATAACAGTAGGAAGTGACATACGAGAAACGCGTTTCTTGTCACGCGCAGGTTATGCTCCATTGAGCGTTGCAGGCGCTTATTCTGGTCTGATATTGATGCACCTTTGGCATGATGATACGAATCCGTCATCTGTTAAAGGATCATTTGTGTATCAAAATCTTCACATCTGTGATATCTCAAACTGGAGAATAAGTGGCTATGCACCAACACGTTGTCTGAGGCATAAATTCACAAAATGTTGAGCGGCATGATCACAGAGATTCACCGGTAAACGCCATTTCACGAGGTTTTCGTCCGGGATCTCAGCTTCAGTAATGGCTGTTGATTAATGACCTCACGACTGACTACACTGCCGCTGAGTAGATAACTAACTCGTCATCTGATACGCATATATCTATTAAATGTTTTTCACATTTTAGATCAGTCACAAGTACAAGCGAAT